CCTGGAAGTGACGCTAGCTTGTAGTTTTCTCACATGCTGACTGACGGCTTTTTGCTGTGGCTCAACAGCTTTCAAGGAACATCTTCAGTAGGATAATATGTAGACATTTTGCAAAGTTTAACCACCCGGGTACCACCATTCTTATCCTCACCAACTGGTTTTGAGACAGTGTCAAGAATCTTTTCCTTTTTCTTTTTAATACTGGATTTAGTGGCTGAGTAATTCCTCTTGTACATGGCCTTCCTGGAATACATGGCAGACCAGGAGTAGCTGCCGATGCCCCAGACTAGGACTAGGTTTTAGCTGTAATGGGGTTTCCCCTTCTTGGGCTTTTTAGCCTTGAGGGTCAACCTTTTTAACCTCGTCACTGGCATCAGCCTTCTTAGCTTCAGGTTTCTTCTCCTTAGTATCCTGCTTCGCAGCTTTTTCACCTGCCATCTTGTATAGTGGTAAAGAGGGTCCCACCCACCCATACCTACTTTTTTTTTTTTTTGGAGAGATTTTCACTATAGGGCGCATGCGCTCGCCAGACAGACAGAGAGAGACATAGAGACAGAAAGCGAGAAATCACCCCCCAGGGGGGATGGTCACGCCGCAATCCCTTCTCCTCCATTCTCCTCTCGGGATCTTGGGCACGCACGCACACGCGCCCGGCGTGAGTTTTAAGCCACCGGGTCCGGGACACGAACCGCGGTCGACTACGTGGGAGTCCAGCAACATAGCCATTACGCTAACTGCTGGTTCCCTATACCTACTTTTTTTTAAAAATCAAAAGTGTATTATATTAAAGATCACAAACTTCTAATTCTTGAATATTTAAGGCATTACTTAGAAATTTTACATTTAAGTAATTAATTGTATAACAACATTTGACATTACTATTAATGGAATAAAAATTATTTTCTTCTATAAACATTACATTACCAAGAACAGTGGTATATGTTTGCAAATGTTGCAATTCCTGCAACCTATAAGTTGAAAAGCCTGGGTGGCCATATGGCTGAAAGTTAAATTTGTGTACTAATTTGAAGTGAAATATGGGAATGTTAAATACTGGCAATTATATTTCAATTATATTACAATATACAACTCTGGAAGAAAGTTAAATTTTAATATTTCATTATTCTATGGACTAAAGTTTATCAAGGTACTCTTTCAGTTAAAAAAATGAAGTTATTATTAAGGCAAAAATGCTGAAATAATTTCTAACAAACTCTTTATATTTTAAAAGTACTATCGCTTCTTTACCACATAAGTACAGTAAGCTTTAATTCAACCTTCTTTCATCCAGATATATTACATCTAATATGTGCAAGAAAAACTAGGTGGTAGATTTATTTAACTTGCTTTATTCATACATAAGAATTTTCTTCAGGTCAGTTTGGGGCTAGTAGGTGGATATAGAAACTATTCTGGTATTTATGGGTGATTTTTTTTTTTTAAGTTTATTTCTTTCATGAGCAAAAGAGAGATAAATGAGCAAGAGAGAGCTAAAGAAGCACCCTCAACAGGATCTCATACCATAATCCTCCACACCCCAGCCTACTCAGCCAGTGAGGATTATGGGCACACACACCTGGCATACACAGGTCAACCGGGGAACCAAATCCAGTATCTTCTGCATGGATCCAGCATCACTGAGCAGTACATTACTACTGCGCCAATGAGTGAACCCATATGGGTGATATTAAGTTGAAATATGTGACTGTCTTTTATTTTTCATATATTCATTTTTAAAATAGATTCTTGCTATAGGGAATGTACACTGAGACACAGAAAGCGAGAAATCACCCCTGGGGGGATGGCTGCACTGCAATCCCTTCTCCTCCATTCTCCTCTTAGAATTTTGAGCATGCACAATGTGCCTGCTGTGAGTTTTAAGGCACCGGGTCAGGACTCAAACTGGGGTCGACTGGGGGGGAGTCCAGTGATGTAACCATTATGCCATCAGTTGGTCCCATGACTGCCTTTTAATAGCACAGTAATAATTTTCCTTGCCTTTTTCTACCCATCAATTCTCAAAAAGAAGCATAGTAAAGCCAACATAAATTTTAAATTTACTGTTAAACAGCAGTGTTCAGGATAAACTTTCATATACAAAGGAACTTCAAATGTTCATGAAAAATAGAATTAGGATTCAACTTTTAGGGGGAGAGCAGATGGCATAGTGGTTACTTTGCTGAACTCCAACATGGTCAACCACAGTTCAAGTCCTGGACACAGTGGCTTGAAAATCATGCCTGGAGCATGTGCATGCATGCCCATGATCCCAGGAAAAGAATGAAGGAAAAGGGATCATGGCATGGCTATCCCCACTGGTAGGGGTGATTTCTCTCTTTCCCACTCACTGTTTCTTCTTCCTTCTCCCCCCAGCTAGCATAGGTGCCCTCTGGCAAAAATCTCTTTAAAAAAATTCAAATTTTGGTGCAAAAAAAATCTTTGAAATCCATGGATTATTTTTTATAATACATCTTCCATGAACTTTTGAAGACCTTTTGTAACATTACGTAATTTATATGAAAATATGTAGCTAGAATCATGACAATTTGAAAAAAGCATAAAATATATTAACAAAAATAAAAGTCATTAATATTTATATGTATGTTCCAAATTTAAGACAAATCAATACAGGATAAAATAAACAAAAAAATAACAAACTATATATAGTTTATTTCTGGTGAAACATAAAAATCCTTTCCTACTACAGTACAAAATACATTACTTCTCTCACCAACACTAAAGAAGATTTGTCACCTAAATAAATTATTGTATGTTAGTGGGGGGAATGCATCACATTTTCATAAATTACACAGATTATAATAAAGTGCTTTTTCTTTTTTTTTGGAGAGATTTTCACTGTAGGGCGCGTGCGCTCGCCAGACAGACAGAGAGAGACATAGAGACAGAAAGCGAGAAATCACCCCCCAGGGGGGATGGTCACGCCGCAATCCCTTCTCCTCCATTCTCCTCTCGGGATCTTGGGCACGCACGCACACGCGCCCGGCGTGAGTTTTAAGCCACCGGGTCCGGGACACGAACCGCGGTCGACTACGTGGGAGTCCAGCAACATAGCCATTACGCTAACTGCTGGTTCCCTATACCTACTTTTTTTTAAAAATCAAAAGTGTATTATATTAAAGATCACAAACTTCTAATTCTTGAATATTTAAGGCATTACTTAGAAATTTTACATTTAAGTAATTAATTGTATAACAACATTTGACATTACTATTAATGGAATAAAAATTATTTTCTTCTATAAACATTACATTACCAAGAACAGTGGTATATGTTTGCAAATGTTGCAATTCCTGCAACCTATAAGTTGAAAAGCCTGGGTGGCCATATGGCTGAAAGTTAAATTTGTGTACTAATTTGAAGTGAAATATGGGAATGTTAAATACTGGCAATTATATTTCAATTATATTACAATATACAACTCTGGAAGAAAGTTAAATTTTAATATTTCATTATTCTATGGACTAAAGTTTATCAAGGTACTCTTTCAGTTAAAAAAATGAAGTTATTATTAAGGCAAAAATGCTGAAATAATTTCTAACAAACTCTTTATATTTTAAAAGTACTATCGCTTCTTTACCACATAAGTACAGTAAGCTTTAATTCAACCTTCTTTCATCCAGATATATTACATCTAATATGTGCAAGAAAAACTAGGTGGTAGATTTATTTAACTTGCTTTATTCATACATAAGAATTTTCTTCAGGTCAGTTTGGGGCTAGTAGGTGGATATAGAAACTATTCTGGTATTTATGGGTGATTTTTTTTTTTTAAGTTTATTTCTTTCATGAGCAAAAGAGAGATAAATGAGCAAGAGAGAGCTAAAGAAGCACCCTCAACAGGATCTCATACCATAATCCTCCACACCCCAGCCTACTCAGCCAGTGAGGATTATGGGCACACACACCTGGCATACACAGGTCAACCGGGGAACCAAATCCAGTATCTTCTGCATGGATCCAGCATCACTGAGCAGTACATTACTACTGCGCCAATGAGTGAACCCATATGGGTGATATTAAGTTGAAATATGTGACTGTCTTTTATTTTTCATATATTCATTTTTAAAATAGATTCTTGCTATAGGGAATGTACACTGAGACACAGAAAGCGAGAAATCACCCCTGGGGGGATGGCTGCACTGCAATCCCTTCTCCTCCATTCTCCTCTTAGAATTTTGAGCATGCACAATGTGCCTGCTGTGAGTTTTAAGGCACCGGGTCAGGACTCAAACTGGGGTCGACTGGGGGGGAGTCCAGTGATGTAACCATTATGCCATCAGTTGGTCCCATGACTGCCTTTTAATAGCACAGTAATAATTTTCCTTGCCTTTTTCTACCCATCAATTCTCAAAAAGAAGCATAGTAAAGCCAACATAAATTTTAAATTTACTGTTAAACAGCAGTGTTCAGGATAAACTTTCATATACAAAGGAACTTCAAATGTTCATGAAAAATAGAATTAGGATTCAACTTTTAGGGGGAGAGCAGATGGCATAGTGGTTACTTTGCTGAACTCCAACATGGTCAACCACAGTTCAAGTCCTGGACACAGTGGCTTGAAAATCATGCCTGGAGCATGTGCATGCATGCCCATGATCCCAGGAAAAGAATGAAGGAAAAGGGATCATGGCATGGCTATCCCCACTGGTAGGGGTGATTTCTCTCTTTCCCACTCACTGTTTCTTCTTCCTTCTCCCCCCAGCTAGCATAGGTGCCCTCTGGCAAAAATCTCTTTAAAAAAATTCAAATTTTGGTGCAAAAAAAATCTTTGAAATCCATGGATTATTTTTTATAATACATCTTCCATGAACTTTTGAAGACCTTTTGTAACATTACGTAATTTATATGAAAATATGTAGCTAGAATCATGACAATTTGAAAAAAGCATAAAATATATTAACAAAAATAAAAGTCATTAATATTTATATGTATGTTCCAAATTTAAGACAAATCAATACAGGATAAAATAAACAAAAAAATAACAAACTATATATAGTTTATTTCTGGTGAAACATAAAAATACTTTCCTACTACAGTACAAAATACATTACTTCTCTCACCAACACTAAAGAAGATTTGTCACCTAAATAAATTATTGTATGTTAGTGGGGGGAATGCATCACATTTTCATAAATTACACAGATTATAATAAAGTGCTTTTTCTCATAGAATATACATCCTAAGAAAATAAAACAAAAATATTAGGTTGTTGGGAAAATCATGAGATGTTTTTCGAAAAAAATGCATCATGACTTTCCCAACAACCCAACATACAAAATTTCTTGTCCTTCGATCATATCTTTTTACCTCATTCTTACATACAGTCATAAGTGAAATTACTTAGTCTGATACTGTGACTGAAAACAGTTTATTTAAAGAAACAACTTATTTAGCCTCTTAGTCTAGCATACTCATGTGAGATAGCACGAAACCAAGGGGCATTATGGAAATATACTGTGATTCTGAAATGATCTTTCCCTTGTTAGAATGAGCCAATGGAAATAACCTAGAAAGCTCCACTGTTCTATGGTGGGATTTTATACTGCACACCCAAGTTTGACTGAAGTGGACATTTATTACAATCAGTATAAACTCCCTCACTTGCAGAAATAGTAGATAATACAGAGTCTTTATCAGAAATGGCAGGATCCATTCTCCACATACGATTACATTTTGGTTTATAAAGATAAAATAGGCATGTCTTTGATCACAAAAATCCTAATGCATGTAATGCCTTAAAACAGTAATGGGGGAAAAGTGAATGCACTTAAGTTAAAGAAAACAGCAGGTGATATTTGGTAAATGTGAATAATGCTATTTATTGACTGCCTTCTACTATGTGCTTTACTGAAATATCCATGTACATGATTTAAATGTGTGTAAAACTTAAACTTTTTTTCTTCTCGATCTACATTTCATTTAGCAAACAATTTAAAAAGTTCTGAATTATGTGACACTCCCAGTAAGATTAAGTTACACTGAAACATATAACATTGAATGCTCATAGTTGCTTTCACTGCTAAAGAATAATGTTTCTTTCTAAGGATGCTTAATGGTTGTGATTTCTAAAATATCTTTTTCAATATCTTCAAAAATAGATTAAATTTATTTTATAATTTGAATTGTGATTAGAGTAGAAATTACTATTCACCAAAATTAAAGGAGAGACAGACATAAATCATTGTAAGAGAAAAATGGTGAAAAAAAAGTTCTTGCCTAAAGAATCTCCATCTTATTTGGCTGTAGTATTACTTCAAGTTGAAACAGTATCATTAGTATTGCTGCCTTCGAACATTTTGTTTTTGAAAAAAAGCCTTTCCAAATTCATATGTACTGATCATAACAGCACAAGCAGGAGCGATTTTAATTAAGCGAGGAATTAGGCCTGAAAAGGAAAGAGAAAAAATAATCAGAACAAATTTCACCTTATTTTTTAAATATAATTTGTTCAGCTTTAGTCTGATAATGATCAAATTAAATAAAAAGATATGTCGGGCCAGCAGATGGTATAGTGATTAAGGCACTGGACTTCCACATGGCCAACCATGATTCAAGTACCATAGTCAAAGGCTTGAAACTCACCCTGGGCATGTGTGCATGTGTACCCAAAATCCCTAGAGGAAATGGAGGAGAAGGGACTGCAGTGTGGCCAATCCCCATGGAGATATATATATATATATTTTTTTTTTGAGAGTTTTGTTTTGTTTTGCTATAGAAGACGTGCACTCGCCAGAAAGACAGAGAAAGACAGAGAGACAGAAAATGAGAAATCACCCCCCCAGGGGGGATGGCCACGCTGCAATCTCTTCTCCTCCATTTTCCTCTCGGGATCTTGGGCATGCACGCACATGTGCCCAGTGTGAGTTTAAGCCACCAGGTCCAGGACTTGAACCGTGGTCGACTACATGGGAGTTCAGCGACATAGCCATTACACTAACTGCTGGTCCTTCCAAGCGAAGAGATGTCTCACTTTTGTCTCTCTCTGTCTCTGCAGCAAGCACACATGCCCTCTAGCAAAAATCTCTAAACATTTATTCATTCATTCATTAAATAGAAAGATAATATCAAATTTTGTACCATACATTAGTAGCAAATGACAGGCCAAACTGCTCACTCTAAAGTTCCTTAATTCAGTCTCATTAGATATATATAATTACATTATATAGAAATATTATCTTTATTGGTAGTTAATCTACTGTTACTTACTATTACTTTGAACTTATAGCAAAGACATTTAGGAAAAAATAATGTGATTGTTACCTATAAACTTCTCCTTAAAGTTAATTTTAGAAGGTAACAGATTAAAGAGTAACCATTCCAGGGAGCCAGCAGGTGGTGTGATGGTTAAGGTGCTAGACTCCCACATGGTGGACGATGGTTCAAGTCCCAGACCTGGTGGCTTGAAAATCATGCCAGCCAGGTGTGCCTGCATGCCCAAAATCTCAAGAGAAGAATGGGGCAGAAGAGGCTGTGGTATAGCCATCTCCTCTGGATTTGAATTCTAACTTTCCCTCTTTCTGTCTCTGTTCTTCTTGCAAGTGCACACCCTCTATGGGAGAAAAGAAAACATTAAAAAAAAAAAAAAAAAAGAAATAACCATTTTATTCAATGTTTCAACCAAGCAAATAGTTTTACCTGTAAATAATCCGGAAAATCCATTTTTAGCAACAATGTTCTTCATTATAACCCAGGTTGACATATGCAAAGGCATAGAAACTAAATATTAAAGAAATAATGTAATTAGAAATCATAAAACTTATTACACAGATAATACACATAAAATAGTGTTTACAGCCATTAGGAGTATATAATTTCATCATAATAAGCACAGAACTGTTTGCCTAATGAACAACTTTAAATCTTATTTTTAGTAGAGAAAAAGGAATCTTATTTTTAGAGAGAAAAAGGAATATAAAGTGTCTCTAGAACTAGATCCAATCAAAAAGAATATATATAATATATAACAATATATATTACATATATACACACACACACACACACACACACACACACACACATATATGGCTCTCTTGCATCGAAAACATTTCTTAAGCTTGATAGTAGTATCCTCATACTTTCTTCCAATGTCTTAAAAATCTCTCATAATGAAACTCTTAAAAGATGAATAGAAATTTAAAAAAAAAATTTCCATTATTTTTATTTATTTATTTCAGAGGTTTTTGCTATAGGACGTGTGCGCTCGCCAGACAGACAGAGACAGAGAGACAGA